CATCCAGCCTCCATATATAGATGTACACACACAACCATACTCCCAAAAGAAAACCTTAGCTATAGTCCTTGAGTAGGACTAGAGTTAGGGCATCAGATCCTGTCTATCACCACAACAAAAAGTATAGAACAGGAGATGACTCAAACTTAGCTAGACATGATGGCTCCCACTTGAAATCCTAGCACCTGGGAGGGTGAAGCAAGAATGTCTGAAGTTCAAGGCCAGCCTGGATTATATACTATGAGACCCTGTCTTCAAAACAATCCATTTTAAACTAAAGACATTCCTTGATCTATAGTGAAACTAACCCTGATAAACCTACAGTAAATCGAAAATATCCTTAGGTTGAAGATGCATTTAGTGTTATCTTCCCTACCAACACCATAGCTTAGTAACACAGTACAGTTCAAAAGTATCAGTGATACCCTGGCTGAAGGAGAGCTGAAGGCGGCTGCCTAGCATCACAGAAGAGTAACATGGGTGTGGCGATGAAAGCCTGTAATCCCAGCACTTGGGAAGCTACTGAAGGTCAAGGTCAGCCAACGGTTTATAGCTTATGCTGAAGCTTGGGATACATATAAGCAAAACCAAAAATCTCCTGAGTATAAAATATCTCACTAGTCAAGGAAAAAAATTAAAAGTATAGACTACCATGTATTGTAGGATGAACAGGACAATCTATAAAAATACTGTAAAATTGACACACTGATCTACATAAGCTCCTCAACAAGAGTGTCATCCTCAAATTAACACACTAATACTTTATGGATAGAGATTTCAAGCATTCTTCCATACAATGTATACTTTGTGGCAGACGATAAATATGTAGGACAAAAATATAATACTTGTTTTAAACCAATTCTTATATTTAATATTATTGGCATTTGCTTTCTTATTTTCTTCCTAAAGACAAGTAAGTCAGGTGACCTAGACTGCCCTGAACTTTCCTGTTTTAGAGATTACAGGTGTGTTACCATATGATTATCAGAACTTCAATATCATCACTTGGAAGCCAGCCTGGGCTACAAGTGACCCTGCCTTTTAAAAAGTTTCAGGAATGTAACACAATATTTGCCTAGCATGTGTGAGACCCTGTGTTTGATTTCCAGTAGTACAGTTCCTCACCCAAAATTTCCCCCACTATAAAAAACAAAAAGGGAATCAGTCATGCATTCATGGTGAAACCTAGGGAGATCAGGACAAACATCTGAGACCTACACTATCTTAAGAACAGTCAGGAGGCCAAGAGTAGAGAACACTGTAAGAATTAACCATGGATCCATTAAGGTGCTTAGGAGAGTGCCTTGGTTCCATGACTCTAGCTGCTATGTTGAGAACATGGTATAGAGAAGGGTGAAACCAGGACCACATAGGAGGTTATTAAAGAAACCAGAACCTGCTATGGTGCTCACACCTGTAATCTCACTCAAGAGGTTGAGTCAGGAGCTCTGTCTCAGACAGAGGAGACCCAGTCTCAAAAGACAAGAGAAATAAAGAAAATAAGAAACAAACACCCAAGAAACAAATAAGGACTCCAAGCAAACGCTGGTCATAATGGTGTTTGTTTTGAGCTATGTTTCCTTTTGATGTACATATAAAACCCAGGGCCCCACATACTAAGCATGTACTCTACCACTAAGTTACCCGTCCAACCCAGAGAGTCAAGCCCAAATAATGTCTGCCAGTTATACTGTTAGTAGAAATAGCTGGACCTTTGCTTTACAGAGCTCTTGGCATACCTGAATACTGTACAACATAAATATGAGAACTATGTTTTAAGTACTAGTCACAGAGGGAATACAAACACATGCTACTTTAATTTTATAATCAGACATTTTTCATTTAAAGTTCTATTGCAACTGAATCTATTCTTCGTTCTTTGAGACAAGGTCTCACTCTTTATCCCTGGCTGGACTAAACTCCTGCCCTGCCTCCAACTCCCTACTCCTGGGATTAAACGTGTATGCCACTATGGCCAGCCTGTTTTTTGTTTTGTTTTGTTTTTGTTTTTTGAGACAGGGTTTCTCTGTATTGTTTTGAAGACAGTCCTGGAACTCAATCTGTAGACCAGGCTGGCCTCAAACTCAGAGATCTGCCTGTCTCTGCCTCCCCAGTTCTGAGATTAAAGGTGTGTACCACCAACAAGTCAACACTACTGTGGCTATTATGCTAATTATACACTATTACTTTGGACTAATGCTTCCCCAAGTCATGTAAAAAACAAATATTAGCAATATAGTATAAGGGAGCATTATTATTTCTACAGCTTTCTTTTTAAAAACTCTTGAGCTAAGGATTCATTCTATAGCCCAGACCAGGATAGAACTCACTGTGGAGAGCTGTCAGCAATCCTCCCACCCCAGCCTTCCATCCAAGCACTAGGATGACAGGCATGTGCTACCATGCCAGACAATTTCTTTTTACGTTCTCATCTTTTAAAGTAACCATTTTCTTTGTATTCATACTAACTCTGCATATCAGTATCCGGGTCATTCATTCATTTCAGGAAAAGGCAACCACATTTGATTTCAGTCAAAAAACACAATCCAAAAAAATTACTGGAAATAACAAAACCCATCAGGATCTAGTCCCTCTAGAAAGGACAAAAATATAGTTCCTACAAACTCCAAAACTACGGTAAGGATAACAGAGAAAACGGGTCAGATATTCAATTTTCCTAGAAAGACACTATGAGGTATAGACTTTTTGGGGAAAAGTTTGCTTATGACACCTAACTAAATACATTTGTTAAGTAGCTATTGTAGAGGGGGAAACAGTAAGCTATAGACACCTGAGAGAAAGGGCTGGTGGTATAGGCCTCTAAGTCTAGCTGAGGCAGTAGTTGAAGGCCTGTCTGACTGCATGACTTCATGAGACTGTTTTCAAAAAGGATGGGGGGTGCTGGAATTGTATCTCTGTAGTAGTGTTTTGCTAGCATGTACAAGGCTCTCAGCTCAATTCCTGCTACACCCAGATCTCATTTAGTATTAGAATCTGCTCCTGGAGCAATTTAAGCAAGTTGGGAGAAATGGGGTACATAAATATAGTAAATACTGCATTTTTATGTGACTGTGAGAACAGAGCTTCTATTCTTCCTTTATTTCAGTTACTGAGTCAGATGTTGGGGTAGAAAAGCACCTGGAAAATGTCCCAAATTCATCTTATACAAGGGGAGGGGAGACCCACAACTGCCTGAACAAAGATACTAAATTACTCTAGGCATGGTATTGCTCATGTGGAAGGTTCGTGGGGGACACATCCAGGAATTCAGGGAGGGAATGTCAGGACTGTAGACAGTGAGCTGAGTCCTTAAAGAGGATTAGATGTTCACCTGGGCAACCTGGGGCAAAAGCTCCTAGCAGCAAGATCACCTGGAGTGAAGACAGAATTGTCAACATCCTGGTTTGGTAAGCTTGAAACACATAAGCTTCTGCAAGGCTACAAAAAAGGTTGGACTAATATGCATGGAAGACCCTTGAAGGGGGTCGGAAATCAGCATATGTGATCACATAATGAGAAACTGGTTTACACAGAATTGAGAAAGGAAAACACTAAACTAGATAATGATGTCACCACATAACAAAGGAGACTGCCCAGTTAGAAAATCCACCTCTCCAGGAAAATACTGAAGAACTGAATTGAAGCCCACCTGGGAGTTTTCGCAGTATCATTGAGAAAGACCCATTCAAGAGTCTTTTGATAAAGAGTAACAGATGGCTAATTCCAAGTCATGCTGAAAGGTCTCCAAAGTTAAAGATAATCAAGGTTTTATTAAGTCAACTTATTTAAAAGGTGTGTCACAGGGGTGGAGCAAAAACAGGAGGAGCTTAAAAATTACCACATATGTATATATAAACAAGTAACTCTTTATGAAGCTGAGGCTAAAATCCCCACTTGGTATTCTACCTCCCAAGTAGATGGTAAAAAAGGCGTTCCACAGAACCAATTAACAAAGATAGGGGAGTGGGAAGGACTATAAACGAGAACACAATTATAAATAAAGGGGGGGTCACAACCTACCCACAACCCATAATCCTGTTGGCTGTCTGTTGAGGAAATCACACAACTCAGACATAAAGGCAGGAAAACCATGTCATCCTTAATTCCACAAGCTAAGTACCAGACACCGGCCAAGGGGATATGATCACATACTTTGATTCCTGAACTCAAGGACAGAAAACTGTCCCCAAACCGTGCCCAAGGGGAAGGCAAGAAGGGTCGTTCTCTACTCTGGGACTGGGCAGCAGACACCCTCAAGGCCAGCCCCGAAGGGTCAACGCCCCCCGAGGCTAGGCCGAGGAGGCCAAGGGCAGAGGGCCCCAGCCTCCTCTCGTCTCTCGCCAACACACACCCTCCCCTACCTGATATGGCGGCGGCGGCTCCTGATCTGGCTCCGTCCCCTCGCCAAAGCTTGCCCGGTCGGACTGAGACTCGTGAAGCAGGGAGATGTCATCCGAGGTCGGGGATTTGAGGCAGTTCCCCATCTTCCGGGGCTGAGGTGTGTGCGTGAGATCTGGGGTGGGGTGGGGAGGAAGAGAGCTGTGACCCGGTCTCTCGCACACTCAGCGGTGAGCTCGCCCGGCGCCGCGGGGTCCAAGGCGGCAGGCCCGGGGGCTCAGGCGGCGGCTCCCCCGCGCCCCGGCGCCGCCGAGGGGCCACTCATGCCAGCCCCCGGGGCAGGGGGCGCGAGGGTAGGCCGCGGGCTGCGCCGGGGTCGCGCCGGGAGCCTGAGGGGGGCGGGGGCGGGGAGACCGAGCGCTTCCCCCACCCCGCCCCCCGCGAGGCGGCGGCGGCCACGGGGCTGCTGGGCCTAATCCAGGTCAGGAGGGGGGGGCGCGGCCGTCGCGGCTGCCTCAGCTGCTGCCTCAGCTGCTGTTGCCCCTGCCGACGCTGGCGCCGCGGCCTGGGGCCTCATCCTACTCCGCCTTAGCGCGGCGGCGGCGGCCAGAACGAGGCCAGCCGGGCCTACGTCACGCCGCCGTGCGTGCTCTGACCCCGCCCCGGGCTCCTTGCGCCCCGCCCCAGTGAGGCTCTGTGTTTAAGATACTGACTGTGTGCTCGTCAGTCTCAGGCGCCCCCTCTGTGTCCCTTGCTGCACCCTGGTCGCTCGCTCGCGGAGTGAGGCCGGTCCCTTACCTGAGCAGAGTCCTCAGAGACTGTTCACTCTGTCTGTGAGGTGATGTTTATATGCCCGCATCTGAATGGATTAGGCAGATAGCTGAGGTGTTTAAATAGCTTCTCCTTTATCCTTTCCGAATAAAGTCCACACTCAGTAATGACACGCCCTGTGTTTCCAATCTTTTCTATCCTCCCAGCATCACACGGCCAAGGGATTCTCAGATTGTTCCATTTCTTCCCAGGCCCACCATCCTATTCTGAGCCACCCCACCACCTCCCAAACTAACGTTTGCAGTCGAGTCTCAGTCTCCCTGCTTTCACCATCGCCCCCCAACCTTGAATGGTTGAGTATTTTTGTTGTTGTTTTTTAATGCCATATAGTTGCATTTAAGATTTCCAGTGGTTTCTCAAAACCGCCCACAGACTATCTCCTCGGTGCACGCCTTTAATCCTGCTGTTAATCCCAACACCGGATGCAGAGGCAGGCAGATCTCTTGAGCTCAAAGATCAAGGCCATTCTGGTCTACAGAGTGAGTTCTAGGACAGCCATGGCTATACAGAGAAACCATGTCTCAAAAAACAGCAACAAACAAACAAACGACTATTTCATTTGCCCCTCTTTCATAAGTGCCTTTAGTTAGACTGTTCCCTCGAGCTGGATTTCCACAGACAGACTTCTGACCTTCTACCCCTCATTGGGCTAATCATTATTCCCACAAGTCCTTCCTGGGTCCCGTTTTGTTTCCCTTGGAAAGCTTTTTCTGACCCTCCAGTCTGGCTAGCACCCTCCTCCAAGTTCCCAGCCTTTGTCAGGTGGATGGAGCTGAATTATCTGTCTTTTCCCTGTGTAGGCCTGGCGTGTTGCCTAAGGGAGACTCTTCCTTGGTTGAATGAACAAATGTTCAAAGAGCATATGCAAAGAAAGAAAAAAAGACAGATGAGGGTGTTTTCCACAGTCATTCTTTCTACAAGAAGGCAAGAGGTTGACTTTGACAGGTTTTTATTCACCATTTACTGACTTATTACTATTCTTATTGTCAGACCCGATGCCAGCCCAACTGATTTATAAAACCCGATTGTGCCTGATAGAACCAGGTTCATCTAGAACAACAAATAAGCAGGAGAGCCGTTGAGCCACCCATCCCTTGAGGTTTTTATGGAAGTCTGACTGATAATGTCATTTGGGTGAGGGCCAGAAGGGATTTTGAGAGATACCGCTGTGTTTAATGGGTAAATTCCAAAAACTTACTTTACATCCTAATTCTACAAAATCACTATTTCAAAGTGCACTCAAATTCTATGTTAAAAACAGGGGATGTTAGTCTGGTGGTGGAGGTGGTGATGGTGGTGACAGGGTGCTGGCCTTTAATCCCAGCACTCAGGAGGCAGAGGTAGGCAGATGTCCTGGTCTACAGACAGCCAGAACTACACAGAGACCTTGTCTTCAAAAAACAAAAACAAAACCAACAACAAAGCAGGGGGGCTGATGAATGCCTATAATTCAAGTACTAAGAGGGCTGAGGCAGGAGGGTGTCTAGTTCAAGGCTAGCCAGTGCTACTTAACAACAAAATCCTGCTTCAAAATTCTAGCCTTTTTTTTTTTGAGACTGGGTCACACTATGTAGTCCTGGATGTTCTGGAGCTCCCTATGCAGGCTGGCCTTGAACTGACAGAGATCTCCCAAGCACTAGGATTAAAGGTGTGCATGACCACACCTGGCTCCTAACCAGTTTTTTTTTTTTAAAGACAGAAACAGCCAGGGGCTGTGGTGGTACACACCCTTAATCCCAGAACTTGAGATACAGAGACAATGGGATCTCTGTCAGTTTGAGGCCAGCCTGGTCTACAGAATGAGTTCCAGGACAGTCAGGACTGTTACACAGAAAAACTCTGTCTTGAAAAACCAAACAAACCCAAACCCAAAATACAAACAAACAAACAAAAAGAACCAAGAGTTGGGCATGGTGACTAATGCCTGTCATTCCAGCACTTGGAAGATGTAAGTGGATGGTCAGGGGTTCAATGTCACCTTCTGCTAAATAATGAATTCCAGGCCAGACTGGGCTACAAGAGAACCTTTCCTGGGCTTTGGTGGCTCACACCTTTAATCCCAGCACTTGGGAGGCAGAGGCAGGAGGATCTCTGTGAGTTCGAGGCCAGCCTGGTCTACAGATCAGAGTTCTCGGACAGCCTCCAAAACAATACAGAGAAACCCTGTCTCAAAAAAAAAAAAAAAAAAAAAAAAAGAGAACCTTTCCTCAATAACTCCTCCCCACCAAAAGACAGTGTCACTAAGTAGCCCAGGCTGGCCTATAAATCCACATTATCTTGCCCTTCGGCCTCCCAAAAGCTGGGATTACAGATGTGTGCACCGGCATCCAGCACTCTGTTTTATTCTATGTTATCCTTACCTTGTTCCTGCAAGCTTATTATATATATGACCTATTAATATATACTCACTTCTTCATAAGGGTACAATTTTAGGCCCATGTGTCTGGTGAGACAACTACTGTCTGTGTTTCCTTGAGTCTACTACCATTTCAATTAGAGAACAGTACTAAAACATTAGTCACCCTCTCATCTGGCAGAAGTTCAAGACAGATGTTAGTCACTTGTAAATCACCAGAGGATGTTTTTGCAACCACACCTATAGAAAAAGGAAAAGGAAACATAAGCCAGGTGTAGTGGTGCACGTCTAAATCCCTGATATTCAGGATTGCCGTGAGTTCAATTCCTGGGGTTCCATAAGGATACCCTGTTTCAGAAAGGGAGGAAGGAAGGGGGATATCGAGAAAGTGCTTCACGAGCCTGGCAACCCGAGTTCTGTCTCTGGAACCCACATAAAAGCCAGATGCAGAGATTCAGTGAAGTTATAATCCCCACACTCCTGCCGTGAGACGGGCAGCAGAGACAGCTGGAGTATGCAGTCCGGCAACAGAGACAAGGAGGCACCTGTCTCAGCCAGGTGGAAAGCAAGAACGGACTACTGAAACTTGTCCACTGGCTTCTGCAGGTTCCATGTGACAAGCACAGAGCAGCACTCACATGTCAAACACATACTTTTTTTTTTGGTTTCTCCAGACAGGGTTTCTCTGTGTAGCCTTGGCTATCCTGGAACTCTCTCTGTAGTCGATGCTGGCCTCAAACTCACAGAGGTGCTCCTGCCTCTTCCTTCTGAGTGCCGGGATTAAAGTTGTCTGCCATCACTGCCTGGCAATAATTTCATATTTTACTTGAAATATACAGACTTTCAGAGTGCCTCTTCAGCCAGGTGGTGGTGGCACACGCCTTTATTGCAGCACTTGGGAGGCAGAGGCAGGTAGATCTCAGTGAGTTCAAGGCCAGCCTGGTCTACAAATCGAGTTCCAGGACAGCCTCCAAAGCCACAAAGAAACCCTGTCTCAAAAAACAAAACAAAACAAAATAGAGTGCCTTTTCAATAGCCTATATACACAGTTTAAAAATAAAAATCTTTTTTAATTAAGTGGTTATTGATATTGGTAATAAACTGCATATTCCATGATGATCCTATAAGAACAAAATGGGTTTGAAAATTCCTTTCACCTCTATGATGTCACAGGCATTGTAAGGTCATAGTACAACACATAAAGGCTGTATTTGTGATACTCCTACGGTAAACACACCTTCTGAGCTGCCCATCCTCTCATATAGTTCAGGGTTATGAACACTACATGCTACGTCAAGACAAACAGCTATGTTATGGGTAGGTCTATGCATTTACTATATTTTTCTTTTTTTCTCATTATTTTAGAAAATACTCCCGGGTGGTGGTGGCACACACCTCAACTCCAGGAGGCAGAGGCAGGTGGATCTCTCAGAGTTTAAGGCCAGCCTGGCCTACAGGGTGAGTTTCAGGACAGCCAGGGCTACACAGAGAAACCTTGTCTCAAAAACCAAAAAGAAAGCCGGGCGGTGGTGTCGCATGCCTTTAATCCCAGCACTCGGGAGGCAGAGGCAGGTGGATCTCTGTGAGTTTGAGACCAAGCCTGGTCTACCGAGCGAGTTCCAGGACAGGCTCCAAAACAATATAGAGAAACCCTGTCTCAAAAAACCAAAAAGAAAAAAAAAAAGAAAGAAAGAACATTTGTATTTACAAAAGGAAGTTTTGCTGGTCTTGTCAGTGTTGGATCACAGAAGCTGCCCCATATAGGAGTCACCTATGTCTCATAGCCTACCTAGTACCTGCCCCAAAGTGCTAAACTCCCAATGTGTAATAGCCTCCAGTTGGGATGGGACACAATAGGATTAACTTTTTTGTTTGTTTGTTTGTTTGTTTGTTGGTCTTTTGAGACAGGGTTTCTCTGTGGCTTTGGAGGCTATCCTGGAACCAGCTCTTGTAGACCAGGCTGGCCTTCAACTTACAGAGATCCGACTGCTTTTGCCTCCTGAGTACTAGGAATAAAGGTATGTGCCACCAACACCCAGCGGAAACTTATTATTAATTATGAAAACTAAGCCTTAGCTTAGCTTGTTTCTAACTAGCTCTTATAACTTAACCTATATTTTTTTCAATCTACGTTCTTCAATGAGCTTTTTACCTCATCTCCAGCTTGCTCATTCTGTTTCTTCCCTGTCTGAAGACTCCACTTTCTTCTTCCCACTTTCTTCTCTCTGTCCAGAAGAGACCTCCTGCCTAGCTACTGGTCAGTTAGCTCTTTATTAAGCCAATCACAGTGACATATCCTCACAGTATAAAGGAATATTCCACAACACCTCTAAACTCAGAGACTACTGCCCTCTAAATATAAAAAAAAAATTTCCTTGTTCTACAGGTGGTTTGCGGTTGGATCTCCTATCCTAGCTTCCTCCATGCCCACTGGCCAGCTTTACTAAGGATTTACCTCAGATCCATCCCAGAGCATGTCCCTACCTGACCTGGAATCTATTATTCAAAACAGGTGGGCTGTGAGATGGTTTGGCTGGTAAAGTGCCTACCTCCAAAACTGATCCCCAGAGCTCATGTGGTAGAAGGAGAAAACCAGCTCCCGCAGGTTGTCCTCTGACCTCCACATCACCCATAGCACACAGACACACAGACACACAGACACACAGACACACACACAGACACACACACAGACACACACACACACACACACACACACACGTCTGATGGGTTGTGCCTCACCAGCTATAGCCTCATACAGTTCATGATTTCATGATTAATACATCTTTTGATTTCATAATTTTCTCTCACTCTTGACTTAATCTCTTGTTGTTTGGGTTCATAGTGACCTCTGAGCATACAAAATTCATCCCAAATGTTACCAACCCTCATTTGACTGACCTAGAAATGAGTTTAAACTGATTAAGAAGCTGGGTATGCAAAATGACACACACCTTTAGTCGGAGCTATTAGGAAAGCTGATTCAGGAGAACTGTTCTGGCTTAGGAAATCCTGGCCAGCCTAGAAAACATAGCAAGGCTTCCATTTAAAACATGACTAAGGACTGCAAAGGAGGAAAAATCAAAGACAACTATTGCTCACCAATCAAGTCAGTCCTGTTCTGGCATAGCTGCCAGGACAGCTGTGATCTTAGGGAAGGATGAAGTGGTGGCTTCAATTAAAAATCTGCTTCACTAAAGGCAATGAGATAGAACAAAAATAAAATAAAGGCCCTATAGAAAAAGTTGTAGCTTCTTTGCAGAACTGGGGTTGAGCCTACGGTCTTATGCATGCTGGGTGAGCACTCCACCATTGAGCTACATCCATAGACATTTAAAATTATGTTTATTTTATCCAGGTGGTGGTAGTTGATCCCTGAACTCAGGAGATAGAAGCAGGCAGATCTCTGAGTTCCAGGTCAGCCTGGTCTACAGAATGAGTTCCAGGATAGCCAGAACTACACAAAGAAACCTTGACTCGAAAATAAAATAAGATAAAATAATGTTTATTTTGAGACAGGTTCGCAAAATAGTTGCCCAGGTTGATCATAAACGTGTTATGTAAGCCAGGTAGGCTTTGACTTGTCAGTCCTCCTGCTTCAGCCTCCAGAACAGCTGGGATTACAAACATGTGCCACCTGACCAAAACTGGGGATACTCTTGATGACAGATATTGATGTCAGACACAGACATTAATCCCTTTTAACGCCAAAATCATAACTGCTGTGCCTGGGTTTGGGTTGTAGAACTCTGGCTCTAGGGGTGGTGAGGGAATGAAGAAAGGACAGGCACACATACACATGCATACAGGAAAGCTGGGATCAGGTTGGCATCTGCTACTGCTGATGGAGGCTGTGTACTATCACAAGCTGCCCAGAACCTCAGCATGCTCAGTCGCAGGGGTAGTGGCAGCTGATCTTGGTAGGAGGTCTCCATAGGTGAAAAGTTTCAGGCTGGAAACACCAGGCAGGGAGGAAGCTGCAGTTTCTAGTTTTTTTACTCAGTGGTCACTTTCTACCACTGGAACCCTGGAGCAAAACATTGTCATCCCTCTGGAACCTGGCCCATGTAGGGAAACTGCTTTGCCTATTTCCTGTGGGTTCAAAGCCTTGGTATCCTTGGCATCAAAGAGCCTATGTCAACATTATACTCACTCACTCAGGGGTCCCTCTGCTCCCCAACACAATCAAAGCAAGAAGCCCGCAACGTTGAAAGAAAAGCCCAGTCTGCCTGTGATATTGGATTCACTGCTATCTCTGGGTAACTGAGAAGATTCAGGAATCATTATTTTTTGCTAGAAAAGTAGGTCAATGACAAATCACTTGCCTGGCACGATCAAGCTCCCAAGTTCCATCCCTAGCATTGCCAAGAAAGGGGAGGGAGATAGGAGACAACAGAGAATAGGACAAGGCACCACGGGCACCTATAGTTCCTGCTCCTCAGGAGGCTGAGGAGAGGGATCATTTGAGCTCAGAAGTTGGAGGCCAGCCTGGGAAGCACACTGGGACTCTGCCTTGGAAACAGTACCCGATGTGGCACTTAGGAGGCATGAAGATCTTCCAAGCTACAGAGTGAGTGTGAGCCTTTCCTGGCCTGTATGAGAGCATCTCAAAACACAACAACCCAAGTGAAGAGTTTTGGTTCCTACCTACTTACTCATGAGGCTGAGATAAAAGACATTTTTTTTTTTTGCCTACATAGTAAGTTCTAGGCAAACCTTGGATACAGTGTGAGATTTTTTTTTTTTTTTGGTTTTTCGAGACAGGGTTTCTCTGTGGCTTTGGAGGCTGTCCTGGAACTCACTCTGTAGACCAGGCTGGCCTCGAACTCACAGAGATCCGCCTGCCTCTGCCTCCCGAATGCTGGGATTAAAGGCGTGTGCCACCAACGCCCCGCCAGTGTGAGATCTTATTCCCTCAAAAGTCAAACAAAAATATCAAATAGGAAAACAAACAGTGAGTCTCCCCCCGCCCCCAGCAGGGTTTCTCTGTGGCATTGGAGGCTGTCCTGGAACTAGCTCTTGTAGGCCAGGCTGGTCTCAAACTCACAGACATCCTCCTGCCTCTGCCTCCCGAGTGCTGGGATTAAAGGTATGTGCCACCACCACCCATGCAAACAGTGAGTCTTAAAGAGCTATGTGAAAACAGGATCATTTTGGGGACACGCCACTTGAGCTGATTGGGGAAGAAAAAAGTCACCCACCAGAGCAAATCTTCAGTATGGGGAAGCATTCCCATTCTGGAGACAAACAGGTCAGTGCAGAGTCTCAAGGCTTTTAAGGATGGGATTGCAGTCTTGCTTGGGATCAGTGTTGTAGTTACAAATTCAAAGTCTTGGTGATCTGGTTAGAGATAACCCCAGGGTCTCCAAGCATATCGGTAAGTACATAATGTCCATGCACTTCAGGAGCCACAAGAAATTTCAGCCCAGCTTTTCTGAGATGTTCTCCTGAATTGCTATGCTAGCAAGGAGGACTGTTGTTAAAACTACCATTTCAAGAGCTTGATTATTAGTTGGGCCTGTTGGAGCAGCCCTGTGGTCCTAGTTACTCAACAGCTGAGGCAGGGGGATCACAAGCACTGCCTGTACTATGAGAGTGAGTTCAAGGATAGCCTGGCCAAAGAACTGAAAGCCTGCCTAAAAAGAAGTCTAGGGCAATCCACTTTTAGGTCTGCTGCCTATGGTACTCTCTGGCTTCAGGGAGCTGCCTCTCTACCTCAGGAAAGTCTGCTTCCTTGCCTTAAAACAAAACAAAACAACAACCACACAACAAAAAACTAGTCAGTGTTATATGCTTTGGGAAGTGGATACTAGACCAATGGGAATTCAAGGTCATCCTCAGCTACACAGGATCCTACCACAAAGAGAAGAGGGCTGGAGAATTAGCTCAGTATTGGGTTAGCAGCTGTAAGACCCTGAGTTCAAATCTCTCTCTCTCTCTCTCTCTCTCTCTCTCTCTCTCTCTCTCTCTCTCTCTCTCTCTCTCTCTCACTCACACACACACTTTTTGCTTATTATTGAGAATATTCTAATAAATTCTATGAGTGATGTTCATTTCAGTAGCAATTTGCTCTTTCTCCACCCAACCTACCTCTTTGATCTAACCATGAGATCAAGGAGTTATGGTTAGAAAGGCCTGTGGCTCAAGGAGGACCCTTGCCCAGGTTATTACTGCAATGGAGAAGGATGCTGAAAAGACATTGATGCAATTCTGGAAACATTGTGACATCTATGACTGTATCCGGAACCTTGTCTGTGGTTAGGTGATGTCACCAAGGTATGAATGCATGGTATCTGGAACAAGACACTCAAGAGTTCATCCAGGACTACAGAGGACTCACCAAGGGTGAGGAGGTAGCAATATCTGTAACGCTGTGTGGAGATGGCCAACAATTTCACCTGGGTATGGATGAGGATGATGCTGAGCTCCCAGGAGAGGTTTCTTAGCAACTGGTATGGGAGTTGATGGGAACAGGAATGCAGCTACAAATAGGAAAGGGATAAATCCCAAGAAAACCCAGGGAAGAGTTGAGAGGAAACCTGGTAGACTTCCATGATCTCCTCAAGAATTACTTCAAAATAAAGAATGTGGGTGTAGCTGGTGGTAGAGCACTTGCCTAGCATGCTTAAGGTTCTGTCCCTAGCACTGCAGGAACAACAAAGTAACATGGACCCTGATACTGAAAGAGTTTCTCTTTCAGTTGAGATTATAACATAATTACAACAATTCTCACTTCCCCTTTCCTCCCTCCAAATCCTCCTCCTTGCTTTCTTCCTAATCTGTGGCCTGTTTTTCCCCCTGTGCGTACATGTATACACACATATATTTCTAAATATAACCTGCTTGGTTTGTGTTTGCTACTCACATGTATGTTTTCAGGGTTGACCATTTAGTACTGCATGACCAAGTATCGTCCTCTTCTCTATTTCGCCCACTCTCAGCATTCCTTAGTTGCCTGTAGCTCCTTGTGTAGGGTTGAGGTCTCATGGGCTCCCCATCCTACCCCATCCACTTTGGAATGTCTATAATTGCTGTCTTGGTTCAGCTCATATTTAGGCAGTCATGTGGTGATATTTTATGGGTGTAGCTTCAGACATTCCTAGGAGACACAGACTCACAGCGAATTCCTGATTCTCTGGCTCATCTATAATGCTCCCTGAGCCTTAGGTATAAGAGTATATCCATTGGGGACTGGGCTCTATAACACTATAATTTGATTGGGCAAGGGCTTTGATTTAGTTATTACTCTGTATTTAGCCTCACAAATAGTGTGTAGCATTGTTAGAGCTATAGATATTGTTTTAATGTATGTATGAACAAAATGAGATTATCTTGGAATGTATTTATTTAAATTTTATTATATCTTATATGTATGGGTATTTGCCTGAATGTATCTGTACCACTTGTGTGTCTAGTGCCCATAGAGGACAGAGTGGGACATTGGATCCCTTGGAACTGGAGTTATAACTATTGTGAGCTACCATGTGGGTTCTGGGAATTGAACTTGAGTCCTTTGGAAGAGCAGCCAGTTAACCTCTAAGCCATCTCTCTGGCCCTAGGATGTACTTATTCAAAGAATTAAGAAAAAGAAATGAAAGACGGGCATTGGTAGGGCACACCTTTAATCCCAGCACTCGGGAGTTCGAGGTCAGCCTGGGCTACAGGAAGAGTGCCAGTACAGGTTCCAAAGCAATATAGAGAAATCCTGTCTCAAAAAAAAAAAAAAACAAAACAGAAAGAAAAGGAAATGATATGTGTTCTTTCTCTCATTGAGACATTAAGGAAAGGACGCATATGTGCCCACGGAGAATGGGATTTAAGAACTTGCAGAGAATACTCAACAAAATAATGGAGAGAAATAAAAATGGTTTATCTGATAGGGAGCCAAATTGCTAGCAATGTCACCCCTCCTCCCAAGGATTATGGCTTCAAAATGTGTTATGCAATGACAAAAGCATTAACCATCATAATGAAGGTATGGATAGAACATTATGTTTGTTTGCCAAACTTGTTCCTGACAAATGGGCTCTGTATTCCAAGATGGGAAGCCACAGTCCTCAAAGCTTTCAGACAGAGAAATAAGCTCAAGATGCAGAATGATTTGCTTATTGTTTGAACAGTAAGTAACAAAACAAATTAGAAAGACAGGACATGGGGAGAAGAAATGGAAAATAGCCTCTCTGCCTGTGTCCACAGGCTCTGTTCTGAATTTATTAATGGAACACTAACAATGAGGCATGCCAGCACATTGAGATGCACAGTTTATATGCGTTGTAAAGGTGCCCAATTCAGGGACCGAGAGGCAGCTGCAATTCAGAAGTTACTCTCCAAACTCCTGAAGCTGCCCAGAGGGCAGAATCTGCCCATGTGGCGCACACTGTTCTAGTTTCTACAAAGGCATTGCAGCATATGGCAGAGGTCCTACCGTGGGTAATGGGGCAGGCTACTCATTAGTGTGTTGGGGGGGTCTAACCCCTTAGCTCCCACAGAAGCCTTTTTCTCCAGCAATACTAGGGTCAGACTCAATATGTTGCCTTCACAGAACTATGAAAAAATATGACTAATATTTGTCATACACAGCCCATTTTCTAGTGTTGCTCATATTGTTGAAACATAGTACTTTGGATGTTGGTACACACACAGGACAGTTGTGACCTTATCTTCTTCTATTCCTAGTGTCACGATTCAGTGACTGGAGAGAAGCAATTTACACATGTTTTTCTATGGCCTCCACAAATGGACTGTGTTACTTACATACCCAATAGATACACACACACATACACACACACACACACACACACACACACACACACTTCAAAATAGGGAGCAAATGGGGAGAATGGAAAGGGAAGCTTTGGAGACATAACTTTTTTTTTTTTTTCAGGATAGGTTTTCCCTGTGTAGCCCTGTCTATCCTGGAACTCACTCTGTAGATCAAGCTGACCTCAGACTCACAGAGATCCGCCTGACTCTGCCTCCCAAGTGCTGGGATAAAAGGCATGTGTCATCACTGCTGGGTAACCCATAACTCTTAGAATCAACAACAGGGTTAGCCTTGAGGTGTAATTGAACACTTGGGAGGTGGAGGCAGGAGGATAAGAAATTCACATCATCCTGGGTCATTTATGTAAAGAGTTCAAGGCTAGCCTTGGCTACAAGAGACACAAAACCGAATCAATTCTACCACTAAAAAAGAAAAGGAAATCACCAAGAAGTAGAAATGAGTTTTTTCAAATCACCTTTCCTCATCCCTGACTTGGTAAAAATTATGAAAATGATTTCTAAGGAATTTGTCCTCTTGGCATTCCATACTAGCCACCAGAATCCATTGTGTCTAAAACATACCAGGCTTTCAGCACCTCTCTCCTCACGTCTGGAAAGTTCTCCTAACCCAGGGGATTGCATTGCTTTATTTGCTGACGATTAAACCCAGGACCTGACAAATGTTAACCGAGCACTCCACCTCAGAACTTTATCTGTGTCACCATGTTTTCTCCTCCCTTTAAAACTCAGTTCATGAGTTTGTGAGATGGCCCATGCTGCCAAGCCTGACACTCTGAGCTTGATCCCTACAACCTATATGGCACCAGGGTCGGTCCCGAGATTGTCCCGAGAGCTCCACCTATGTGCCATGGCATGCATGTGCCCGCACATATACACATACACACACGATGAAAATGTAATTAAAAGCAGGTGTGGAGATGCACACCTTTAATCCCAGCATTTGGGAGAATAGAGACAGGCAGATCTCTGAGTTTGAGGCCAGTCTGGTCTATAGAGTGAGTTCCAGAACAGTCAAAGGCTACACCTGTCCCAAAGCCCACAAACAAACAAACAAACATAATTTAGGAAGAAAGAAAAGGAAGGAACCTGGGAGCTAGAGAGATAGTTCATTAGTTGGGTACTTTGCTTCACAAGTTTGGTTCCCAGAACCCACATGGAAGCTTACAACTCTGTGACTCCAGTTTCAGGGGATCAACAGCCTCTTCTGACCTCTGAGAGCCCCAGGCACTCACATGATGCACATACATATATAGGCAAAACACTATAAATATGAAAATAAAGTTATGTCTTTAGAAGAAAACTCTGCTTACAAAAAAAGATGAAACTTGGGGGAGAATGGAAGGGAGAAATAATGTAATTATATTATCTCAAAAAAGGAAATAATTATAATGGGGGAGTTGGGGGGAGGGCACGGGAGGAGGGGAGGGAAAGGGAGAGGGACCTGGAACTGACTTGTGAAGCAACCTTGTTTCTTTTTTTTTTTTTTTTTTTTTGGTTTTTCGAGACAGGGTTTCTCTGTGGCTTTGGAGGCTGTCCTGGAACTCGCTCTGTAGACCAGGCTGGCCTTGAACTCACAGAGATCCGCCTGCCTCTGCCTCCCGAGTGCTGGGATTAAAGGCGTGTGCCACCAACGCCCGGCAGCAACCTTGTTTCTTATCTATATTTAAACTGAAAAATAAATTTAAAAAAAGAAAGAATTTCTTTGGGAAGTCCACTCTGGTATTTCTTTTTCTACAGATTTTTTTTTTTGGCCATACAGATGACTCCCTCATTATTTGGTGGCATCTATCTTGTCTACTGATCTTCCTAGACTGTGTGATATTTCAGCCAGGCACTCTGCTTGAATCTGATCAGAGTCTGTGGTTTCGACTAACAAAATGTGGCAGAAGCTGGGTGAGGAGTCACATGCCTTTGGCACCAGTATGTGGGAAGCAGAGGCAGGCAGATCTCTGTGAATTGGAGGCCAGCCTGATCTACATGAGCAAGTTCCAGGCCAGCCAGGTCAACAAAGGTCATGATGATCCTCTTGCCTCTCTTCCTGGGTGCTTGGATTACAGACCTGACTTGAAGCATCTTGAGTTCTTTAGAGAAAGCTGAAAAGGTGTGTGGGTTACTGGTGAGGATTCACCACCAAGGAATTGTGGGTAGGTGGAGGAGTTTAATAACACAGGAGCACCACACTGTAGGTGGAGTTTTCATCAGGACTGCCAGCTTCCAAATAACCACACAGAAACTTAGTACTAAATACAAATGCTCAGCTGATTGCTTAGGCTCGTCTCCAGCCAGCTGTTACAACTTAAATTAACCCATTTCTATTAATCCATTTGCTGCCCCAAGGCTCATTTATCTCATCTATGAACTTCCCATGTTGCTTCTTTTGTGTCTCGCTCAAGACTTCTCTGACTCTGCACTCCTCCTTCCCAGCATTCTCT